CACACACACACACACACACACACACACACACACACACACACACACAGTCACTAATTAGCCCGACAGTCACTTAAACCAGCTCTCAGCAGTTTCCTAATATCCCTAGATCTGGTTTCAGGACTCCGTTGAGACTGAAACCCCGTCACTGAGAAGCGTCAGTAATTACCGCACTACGAAAAATGATTTCTTCATTTTGATCATTAGAGACTTCAGTATCTTCACAACTCAGAATAGAATAAAAATTCATGGAAAATGAAGTGGGGCTTACAGTTTGGATTAGGGGTCAAAGATCATTTAGACGATTACTGCAAATAATGTAAAAATGAATCGTTTCAACTCGCAAGGGATCAAGTGTTAGAAATCCATTTAAACAAAATCTGTTCTTGTGTTTGCAAAGAAAGTCACGAGGTTGTTCTTGACATATTTTTGACCTGCAACACACAAAGTGTAAACATCCGAGGTTATGTTGATGTTAAAGGTACCATTTATGTATTTTTATTATCAAGGAGGTCTAAGGATTATATTAATATAGTAAAAGTATCAAAACGCATAATCCATGAAGAAATACAAGCAACCCGTATTCAGCATCTGTGCCTTTAAAACGAGCCGTTAGGATTTACGCAGCAAATAGACCGTCTCACAGGTTTAAACGCAATTCCGTCAAAGCGCTAAAACGGAGCGAGAATGAAAGAGGTTCAATCAGACAGACAGTATGAGACATGAGACAAAATCAGCATATGTCTCCTTTAAATCAGCTGCTGTATTTATGTAAAAATACATTATTTTGCACCATTTTCACTTTTATAATTAACATAAACTGAAACAAGCTGAAACCTGAAATATTGTAAAAGCCAAGAATAAAGACTCGTAGTATAATGTTATAATCGACTTTATAGCTGCTCGGCTGATAGTCGATACGATACTAATTCACTGAACTTTTACATCCTAAGGAGCTTTATGTTTGACTGTAATGGTGCAGATAAATCCTGAACAGGAAGCCTCCCTCATCCTCACGCTCACTTTATCTTTTTACAATACATCACCAGTGAGGCCAACATGACAGACTTTTGTTTCCAGCAATGGAAGACAAAAGGAGGTGTTCAGTTTAACTGCCCCACTGCGCAAAGAAACTGCAGGAAATTCATATTTCTCTTCAGCTCGTCACAACAGCAATCCTGCAGCTGAACGTCCTGCAGCTTTCTGTTATAAAACCAGCGTGCTGCAAAGATCTCCAAACGTTTTCTGGGTTTTGAAAGGCTTCTTTAAAAACGCTCAGGTTACGTTCGTCCTCTCGGAGAGAGGAGAGAGATGCTACAGCTACTGAGCCAAAGTGTCCACAACGCCACTAATGCTTGATCCACATCAGGTCATTTATCATCGAGGCCTCTTCAAAAACAACCGGGGGCTGTCTTTTCAAAACTCCTCCACTCTGAAGCCGAGTGCACAAAATGAACGCACACGTCAGAGGACGATCACAACTCCTGCAAACAGCTCACTGTGCGAGAGCTCCTCGCAGTCTCTGGCCTACAGTACTACAATGTCATCCAGTGAACTTTCTGAATGAGAGAAGACCTTATTTTCAGAGTATCGATCGCGGGGCGAAGGTACAAAATGTAAACGCGTCAACCAGATAGATCTGCTGTCACGTTCCTCGGGCCGGGGTTTGGACATCACTGTCACGGGGCCTCGGTGGGGGTGCGGGGGGGAATATTCGCCCTCTCATCTGTGTGATTGTTAGAGGAGAGACACGGAACGAATCATCAATCATCCATTCAGGCCACATTCAGCAGGTAATAGTCTGCTGTTGCGTCATGTCTGGACCCAAGGAGCGCTTCATTCATCTCGACGCATGGCAGGAATACCCTCAAATTTTGATAAGGACGAACCGGCATGAGACGTTTCACACACTGTGAGAGTTGGTTACAGCGTGAACACCGTTGGTTAGAGGTGCTGAGATGCTCGTGGATGGATAAAGCTTGTTGGTGTTCTCCAACAGCTGAAATAGGAGATCGGTGTTTGCTAGTTAGCAGGATTTACCACAAACGTGTCCACAGATTTCTACCACAAAGCGCTCAGCATGCCTGGGTCTACCCAACGCTAATACCAGACAAATTAGACAATTCTCCAAAGCCCTGGATTACGTAAGGTTAAGGAAAGATTGTGGTTCCAGCAAACTAACACTAACACACCAACAGTAATTGTTGGACTGCAACCACACGCATCTCCGATCTATCGCATGAAAGTCAGACATGCGACATCCACCACTCAGTGTCAATATACCTATATTTTCTGACTCACTAAATGAACCAATTTGGTGAAAGGTGTGAAGTTAACATGATTCCAAAGGATTCTGGTCTGGTCTGGTCCGCCGAGGCTGCAAAACCTTCTAATGTTATGGAGGTTTAAATGGTTTTGTGAGAGATATTCCAACTTGGTTTTAATCACAGAAAATGCTTTCTGCATTCCTCACCAATTCCTGTCACATTTCCTGCTGATACAACGCTCTGATATATACGCCTCATGTCTGTCACTTTGTAATTTCATGCAGTTTCACAGTTAATTCTCAGGTTTTCTGCAGCCTTGTCTGAGTTAGGAGCTCTTTTGAGTTGAAATGTTTCAGTAATGGTGATTGTGTTTGTCTTTTCTTACAGGTTACCAGCGCTGATTCACAGAGTCCAGGAAATTCAGACTTGAGAGAGAGCTCAAAATCCAAAGTGAAGACGCACTGGACCGAAAGCAGCAAGGCTGTCTCCATCAGCCGCCTGCTGTCCCAGACCCTCTACGGCAAAGAGAACTTCACCTCTCTGGATCTGAACTACGACGAGGCCGACGCCTTCTCCAAACAGGAGCAGTGGAACTGGCTCTACAACGCCTCGAACCCCCGCGACCCTCGATCCAGGACAAAAAGGAGGCCCATCGTCAAGACCGGCAAGTTCAAGAAGATGTTCGGTTGGGGCGACTTCCATTCCAACATCAAGACGGTGAAGCTCAACCTCCTCATCACTGGCAAAATCGTGGATCACGGTAACGGGACATTCAGCGTCTACTTCCGCCACAACTCGACCGGTCAGGGCAACGTATCCGTGGGACTCGTTCCGCCAACTAAAGCTGTGGAGTTCCAGGTCCAGCATCAGCAATACCACCACCACCACCACCACCACCACCACCAGCAGCAGCAGCAGCAGCAGACGGCTCTGGAGACCAAGGACAACAAGCTGTTCAACTGCAGGGTGGAGTACGAGAAGGTGGAGAAGGGCACCAGGAACTCGCTCTGTGCCCACGACCCCTCGCAAAGCTGCTCGCAGGAGCAGACCCAGAGCCACGTGTCCTGGCTGTGCTCCAAGCCCTTTAAAGTCATCTGCATCTTCATCACCTTCTACAGCACCGACTACAAGCTGGTGCAGAAGGTGTGTCCAGATTACAACTACCACAGTGACACCCCGTACCTGCCCACGGGGTGATCATATGACCAGACGAGGACAACAACAACAACAAAAAGATGAGAACAAAAAAAAAAAAAAAAAAAAAAGAGAGACCGGCTGTCGGGTCCTGAACGATGTCAGATTATTTGGATGAAAACGGATTCAAGACACTTGAAACTTGAGACGTTGACAGGCATTATTCCAGCAAACATATCCTTGACGCAAGACTGATATTGCTTCAATGAACAGACCCGCCCCGAGGTCATTGTGGGAGCATTTAGGGAAGCATTTATAGGCTTGCAATACTCATATTATATGCATAGCACCTTACATGGAAAGGAATTTCTCAAGCCAACCGTAAAAATATGCTGATTGTATTTATGTAAATATTGTGGGTTCCACACAAAGACCAGAAAACAATTTTATTAATGTTTCCTCCTGCTAATTTAGTTGTTTATGTTGATAGTGTATTTCCGCCTCAATCGTGCTTTCTGTCGTTTCCAATCACTTGCTGGTAATCATTGCAAACACGTAAATGTCAATGCAAATAAGAAGAATCTGTCAGTATGCATTAGAGGGCATAATGGAAAAAGCTAATATATTTTGAGTAGTGTTGTTTTCTGCGGTGTGATTGTTCGAGTGACTGTACCTCTCTGATATTGTTGTTGGAATCTCGTCCGTGTCCGTGCATGAACCGAATGTGGTAAACAACTGAATAACGTCCATCTATATTTTCATGTTATTGCAGCTGTCAGAAATAATCTTCATCAAGTCACCGGAGAAAAAGAGAAAAGAAAAAAAGTACTTTGATTTCAATTCTGTGATATCTGTTAGCGGTTTTAAGGTTCTAAAATGACACCAATGGAGGGCTCCAATCAGATCAAACATGCAAGTAAATGTGGCAATAAATAAAATAAAACCTGCAGAAATCACACAAGACAACAGAGGTACAGACGACCATTTTCTTCACTGATACTTAAAAGATTAAAAACACAACTGTGCTCCTGTTTCCTCAGTTCCGGCATCTCCATTTCAGACTTTCTTGTCGTTGCTCTTATTTTTGTGACCAAAAACAATTCCAGTACAATCAATTTCAACCCGTGCATCATCACCAACATGACAAGCAGCCAGTAGTGAGAGGTGTCAGAGCCACAGTGACCCCGCAGGATCCAGAAATAACTCAGAGAAAAAGCTGGTTATTGAAAAAAAAAAAAACAACAAGGTCAAAAGTGTTTCAAAGTGTTTAAAAAAATAGATCTCCGTACAAGCAGAACACATGAAAGTTCATCGAACAAAAGGCTGAAACAGAACTGTTAAAATGTGCTTCCTTGCTCCAGAGGAGACAGGACATATATCAACCAGCAGGTGCTAATCACACATTCTACCTATCACACGTTCGCACCTCTGGTTATCAAAGACAAAAAATTATTCTGGATGAGACTAACACACTGGCTGTTAATGATATTGGATGTTCCAATTGGCTATTAAACCTTCATTACATAAATTGGGAGCCAGTGGCTCAACGTGAAGCATTTAGAGGAAATGAACACAGTGTAAGTGGGAGCTCTGCAGAGTCAACACCACAGAAAGAATGAATTAAAATGCCGATGGAAACCTGAAAAAAAAAAAAAAAAAAAAAAAAAAAAAAAAAAGCACAAATGTGCACCTGGGGGCCCAATCACTGCCGTCTATTTAAATTCAGTGCTCTTCCACAGTGCACGCCGCGGTGTACGCAACACAGTAAGTGCTAATGGCAGCCTGGACGACATCCAATATGCCAACGTGGGGTGTATTTTCTGACAAGGCGGGCCGAAGAATGGGGGTCTGCCTGTGGGATGAGTGAGCATAAAGAGGAATTTATGATGTGGAGGAACAAGGCTGGCAGAAATCACTGCAAGCACCTGACTCGTAAATTGAGAGCATGTTTCTGTCACCGAGACGAAGGAATGACTAATGTCTCCAATTGCTGTTTGGGCCAGTTCTTTCATCTCAATAAAGTGACTTTGATACCTCTCCACCGTTACCCAAATGTGCCAAGGACAGTTTGTTCAGCTTCAAAGAATTAAAGCAGCACTTTGCCGAGACAATGCAGCCTCATTATGCACATAATCTTACAAGTGTAAACAGTCTGGCACTAAAGTGTTTCGGGCGCGAGAGCTTCTGAGAGGCGGATCTGCTCCCTCACCGATGTCGTCTGAGGGCGAACGCAACGTCCTACTGTAATGTTGTGCAGCGTTTAAGTTAAATGAATAATGTACAGATGTATCCACCAACTTAAAGCTGCACTCGTCAATATTTCAACAATGGATCAAACGTCTAATGTGGAAGGTGCGACGATTCCCAAAGATAATAATAGCTTGAGCGTTTCAACACCTTTCAGCTCATTGTTTTGATTTTTTGTTGTTTACGGCTCACAGATCGACTGTTTTGATTCGCTCTGTTGAATATGTAAATACGAAACTTAGTCATATCTTTATGAGGTGATAATTTGTAAGAGTTAACAGCTTGTTGCCCTGCCCGCAAGGTGCCAAACAATCCAATTAATGCAGGTTTCAGAGTTTTGTGCATTTCATATCTACAAGTAATTGCAGATATCAGGCCGTTTTACTTCTGTATTTAATAACATTGCTGATTTAAAATAATCTTTAGCCTTCGGGTAATATTAATAACTTAGATTTAGTTGTCGAGTCTGGTATTAGTCCCTTTATTAACACATCTGTCAATCATGTCGTGAGTGACTGCGGGTTCTAATTTGATGTTCCGTCTTATAGGGCGAGGTCTAAACTTTTGTTAACTTTTAGATCACTACCTGTTCCTTCAATACAACGGAATGAAGCGATCAAACAGAGCTGGATGTCGAAAGCAGACGTATGTAATTAAAACGCAGAAATTAAACTCGAACCGACTTCAAATATCTAATAACCTCAATCCAGCAGTAAGTCTCTCTCTTGTAGAGTAATTTGAAGTGGGAGAGGTTGGATTCATTTAGCTCCTCTTCAAAGCCACTATTTCTTAAATTATGTTATTCTCAAAGCACCAGTTTACCCGGCAACAAGAAAAAAACTGTCCGTCCAACGAGCTCCATGCGAATGAATGAAACCGACAGCATTACAATCCGGCAGTGTGCGGACGTCCAAGTTATCTTCGGGCCCAGATCTTCTCCCTCGGTTCAGTCGACCTGGGCCGGAGCCGCTCATGCCTGCCGTCTATCCCCCTAGCTCGCCCACAATCCCTGATTAATGTGGTCTGGGCGGGAGCTGTCAGAAATGGCAGAGAGAATCATGGGATTTCTCCTTCAGAGTCCCAATGACACCCAGCAGCTGCAGGAGTAAACAGATGACTAACCACTGGCCTTTTGGCAGCCTGTGGAGATTCACACGGAGGGAGGGCTGTGAACGTTGCTGTGACATTTAGGTGGATTAGAAAGTTCTTGGGTTCTGCTCTCGTGGTGTCAGAGGTGGTTGGCATAGTAATTATTTGCGTCTTGGTTTTCATCTGCTTGACCCCCCCCCACCCACCCACACCCTCCAACCGCAGTGAAGATGTAGAACTCCGTTTTTTGCTTCCACTCACAGACGTTTGTTCAAACGTAACGTGTTAAACATCCTCGCCAGCCTCATTTATAAACAAATCACATTTTGTTTGCGACGCTACAAAAAAAAAAAAAGGGACATAATAGGTATCTTACTTTAAAAAAAACAAAAAAAACAAGCAATTGTCATTTCAGATCATGTCCTGCCGCAGAATTCATTTCAAATCTGGGGCTGAAGCTGTCCTGGGGCACAGTTTTGTGTGAGGTATTGACATATTAAAGGCTCTATCAGACAATGGCTGGTGTGTGTTTTTATTTATTTATTTTTTTAAACCAAAAAAATAAATTACTCTCCTCAAAACACTATTTCTCGTCCGGAAATGAAAACTCACTCATTGTGAATGTCTCATATCAGGTAAAAACTGGAGAGAATTAATTAACCTTTGTCATTTTAATTGCTTTAGTGACAGCTGTCCTTTGGTGCCGGAGCTATCCTAATGCACATACTGTGGGCTTGTCAATTACTTTCCCAGAGAATAGATTAAAACGCCACAGAGGATAGAGTCATTTCATTAGTCAGACTTAATGCCCCCCAGACATAACCAGGTACCAACACTTCAACCCTAAATATGCAGGAAAACGAGCAGAACTATTAAGCCCATATGAATCGAATGAATTGTGGCAACATGAAATTAAGTTTACGCTCTATTTAATTCTGTCCCGCTGCTTATATTACATTTGTCTGCACATCTTCCTCTGGAAGGGTTCGATCATGAGGAATATTTTAAGGCTTTTAATGAAAGGTCTCACAGACTGAAATGCAGGGCACCTGTGTGGAGCAGCTAATTGCTTTAATGGATGTTAGAATAGTTAGCGCTGTCAATTCTTACCACACTGGATAATGGCTGACAGCAGAGACCGTCTCAGCCTCCTCATTTCGCAGTTTGCACATCCATGATTCAACGCGACTGAGCTCATCATGAATCTGAAAGAAATTAGGCCGCTTTCAAATATCTGTCAGCTGGATGTCTCGGCTGCTTCCAGCAACAAATGCACAAATCTCCCGTCTTTACCACATTATAAGACAAGAGTCGTTCTCACATTCTATCAAGCGGCTAAAACCTTTTTTTTTTTTAAATAAAAAGGCTGTGAGGACCTTGACACCCGTATCATGAACGCTGTTATCTAATTGCAATGAGTTTAACAGAAGCGTGAGCTTAAATTCTCAGATTGTAGATATAACTGTAAGAAACAGTACAGAATGCAACAGTTTGAGATACAGCGTCTCGTTGCACACAAAAAGATCCTCAGTGGGTCACTATAGCACGGACACAATACTGATTTAACTTCACCCAACAGCCATGGGTAAAAAAACATCGGGTTCCCAATAAAACCCAAACTAAAATACCTTATACGGGGCGGCCGTGGTTCAGAGGGGGTCGTCCTGTAAACACAAGATTGGCGGTTCATATATGTACATAATGTAAAATGATTCTAATGTATATATATATATGGTTATAATTATAAGTTGTATTTCTGAGTCTAACACTGGGTTTAAATGGCCGTATATTAGTAATAGAGTAAATAACACTGGTGTTCCGCCATTGGCTGCTGAGTAAAGTTAAACCAGAATTACATTTTAAACATATATTGGCTTAAGCACAGAGTCAACTGACCCAGTGAGCTTTAATGCATATAATTATATAATGATATTATTTGTCAATGCATTTAAGTCGTGCGGAAACAAAAGTATTCTGATCAATTGTTTCAGTTATTGTATTTTTATTGGCAATTAATCTGTTGATTGTTTTTTTTTTTTTTTTTAATAAATCGTTTGTTCTACATCAGAATCAAAATTATCACAAAATTGTGGAAAAACACCGACTGCAAGTTGTCGGAGCTCAGTTGTTGTGAGAGGTAGCTTCATCAAACCAGACACACGAGTATTGATGTCAAAGATGCGTTTGCCTTTCAAAACGACAAGAGATATAAGAGGATTACACGGCTCATGAATACGGCCCATAGCCTCTGATTTATCACCTCTTTTTTCCCCCTTTTGCTATCAGAAATCCTCGTCTCCATCCATAACAGACTGCCACGCAACACAAAGGGCGGCTCTTCTTGTACCTGAATACCTCAGATTTAATTTCAGTTAAGGAAAGAAAAAGTCTGATCAGCTGAACGTGTGTGTGTGTGTGTGTGTGCGTGCGTGGCGAGTGTGCGCTGATGATAAACCTGACAATTAGGCTCCGTTTACAAGCAGCTGCACCGCAGAGAAAAAGAGCAACTGGTTGAAAATCTATTTTTGTCGAACAATAGCAGAGAGAGGCGATGAGTTCTGCATGCCACCTCATCAAAAACATCACTAAAGCGTAGAGCTGGGTGATGCTATTTATAGATAAAGACACATTACAGATCACACTCATACATTTTACCCCAGCATCTGGTTACGTATCAAAACATCAAAGCTTTGCATCAGTGTTAATTGTAAGTGCCCTTACACAAAAAGCCGTCCAACATGATGAGTGGACCATTTTTTCCATGTCACAGTCTAAATATATAGCACAGTTTTCCTTCAACGTCCTGCCTCTGAAACAGGACGGCAGGTGAAACAATCAGGGCCCAGCCTGCGCCGGAGCCGGGGCTGCGTTTGCCATTGATTTATATCTTAAACAACCTCTCCCGGTGCTTCCACTGCTAAAGGTGAGACGCACAGCCAGTGTTTGTGACAGAGATGGACTAGGCGCGGTGGCAAGAGAGAGAGAGGGATGATGCTGTTTTAAAAAATGCATCACCATTAAATCAAAGAGTAACCTTGAGTGAGTTCAGGCCGGTGCCAGCTCGGTGACATGCTCTGCCCTCAGCGATCGGTGCCACGGAGCATGCCAAGCAGCGGGTGGGGGTGGGGGGGGTGCGACGCTCCGATACAGGTTGGGCCGGTTGTGCTGGGTAGCGGTCCAGCTCCCCGCTGACCAAGGGCACTCACACCGACAAGTTTCTCCAAGTTGGAGCTCAACATGTTATAGACAAATATCTATAGGATAGTCTGAGGGACGGGGGGGATGTCCTTGCAAACTGCCTCAGAAAAGTTGACAAAAAAAATCTCTGTTAATCACTTAGACTTTGCACTAATCAAAAACTGAGTGCACAGATGGTGCAGAGTCACAAACCACTGGTTCAACATATGTGACCCTGCTACCTGATGTTTGACTAAAACCTGCTCTGACCTTTTCTCTTTGTGTCTTTGCTTACAGGTCCAGCAAAAAAATAAATAAATGGAGGGTTCAGTGTTAAAAAAAGAAGCTTTCATAATGAGAAAGTACCTAATGTGAATATGGGATTACTTTTATTATTCTTGTTTGCTGCGAGACAAACTCCCCAAGCTATTACATGGGCTTTAGCAGAGCAGATGAAGCATTAGAGTGTAGCCCAGAGGAGGAAGTACTAAACCCCACCGGTCCCTCAGCTACAAAGGCTGAACTTTACATATTTCTTACTCATGCAAATTGCTAAATCAAGGAACTACATTTATTTACGCTTTTTAATAAAGCACTAAAGCCTCGGAGGAAATTCTTTATTGAGACGCCTGGTAGAAACGCTGTGCAGCTGCCGAGTCCCTCCAAAGTACCCATATTTTCAGTAAATAATGTCTTCTGGGCCGTCATGTTACACATAAAACAGTTACCAGTGCATGAGGACGGACTGAAGTAGCGCGCATTCATTGGAAATAAGAATGCATCGCAAGAAAGAAACATCATTTTGGATTAGATTTCGGGCAGAAGCTATCTGCGGTATATAACTTATTTCTTAAATCTAACTTCCTCCACTTCCCTCACATTCATTGAGACATGTCATCCATCTATCTCGGCCTCCGGCTGCAGTAGTTCCTCGACCATGAGTGGCTGCTGCAGCGGGGCTGTATTTCAGCATGTTGAAGTGCATGGAGAATTCCCATGAAGGGTAAGGGATTATGGATTTTGGCCTCTAAGCTGCCTGGATGCCCAGTGAGGATGTCTCTGAGCGTAGTAATCTTCAAACACCACGCAGAGTGATGAGTGGGCACTGAGGAGTTCTACTCAGGATCTAAATGTGTTCCAGCAAGTTACTGGTGTGAGAGAGAGAGAGAGAGAGAGAG